AAAATACATGTTTTTTGACTTTTACTTGAAAAATCTTTTACTCATCTACAAAAGTGAATGAAAAAAACTGCTAAATAGATTCAAAATTTTGTCCTGAGTTTAAAAATACCTAGTGTTTACGTGCTTTTTTGCTTTTTTTTGCATGTTATAGGGCTATAGGTACAAGTTATATCATCAAGTTAAATCACAACAATTATATCATCAGTAAAAGTGCTGTTTGTGTGTGAAAAATGCAAAAAAAGTAACTTTCACTGACAATATCATCACTGTGATATGTTTTACTGTTTTGAATCACTAATATTTGTGTTCAGCAAAGTCTCCCGAGTAAAACAGTACCCCCCATGTACAGGTTTTAGGGTGTCGTAGAACGTTACAGGGTAAAATACAGTGCTAGCAAATTAAATTCTCTGGAATTTCGGCCTGGGTTGGCAGGCAGGTCCTCAAATTGCAATCAATAAAATTACTGAATTATGTAAAAATATTACATAAATACGCACGTAGAATTTAAATATATATGCATATTTATATATTTGAAGTCTACGTGTATATTTATATAATTATTTATGTAATTTCGTATATGGACGTATGTATATTTCTTATTATTTTTATTTATTTTTATATACATAGATATATATACAAATTCATTCTAAGTGTATTTTGATATAAATATATATATATTAATTTTAAAATACAGTTAGAATAAAATTTCATATAGCTATATAATTTTTTTTAAATTTTTTTATTATTATTTAAAAAAAATTTTATTTAATTTAAATTACTTATTATTTATATTTTATAATAATATATATATACAATATATATAGTTATTATATATATTATATATACGTGTGTAATTTAATTATAAGTGTATTTTTATATTAATATAAGTACATATTAATATAAAAATACACTTAGTATGGCATTATATATATATGATATATAGACATATATTATATAGATATAATATATGTCTATATATCATATATACACATATATAATTTTTTTAATTTTTTTTTATTAACACTAGCTTTAATTTTTTTTTGATTTTACACTAGCAGGGAGACTGCCTGTCAGCACAGATAGTCCCCCTGCAGGCAGACACTAGGACACCTATTGTGACCATGTGATCGCTGTGTTAAGCGATCACATGGCCACAGGGGGTCCTAATTCAGTGTGGGGAGACTGTCTGTCTGGGCTGCAGGCAGTCTCCCCACAACCGGAGCCACGCTGATCGCCGCCGGGGGAACGACGGCGATCAGGTAAGTAACTCTGACCGTTAGGACGGTTCAGGACCGTCATCGGTCCTCAAGGCAAAAATGCCGATGACGGTCCTGAACCGTCCTCGGTCCTGAACCGTCCTCGGTCCTTAAGGGGTTAAAAAAAGACTGTGCCAAAAAATATTGTGGAATTATTGGAAAAAAATGCACTTAGCATACAGGACATCAATAATATACCTGCAAGCCTGAAGTATATGTTTTTCCCAAAAGTATTAATGATTTTAATGAACAAAGATTGGCTCCGCTTGTGCGATGCATCACTTTGGATTGAAATCATATTTCCATAATTAGAGAAGAATGGCAATTGTTTTCCTGGTAATAGTCTTCAAAACTGATATATAAAACATGATTATCTGGTGATAATTTATTGTAAATTGATAAAAAAGTAAATATGATACCAAAAGCATAAAATAACCTTATAAAAAAATAATCATTGGGTAATTAGATAATTTCTATTAATAAATTAGAGAATGGTCTTATTAATGATTATTGTAAATTGATAAAAATGAAATAACAGATCATTTTCTTTTTAGTGCGACCTTGTTTTATCTATCTGTTCTGAGTTTATAATTTAGTCACTCCCCTTGTCTGATTGGGCACAGTTAATGTTGTTTTGTTATGTGTTGCACTTAATTAGACATCGGACAGTGTTGTTTGTTTTATTCTATTTGTTTTTCTGAGTAGTTTGGGGAAGCTTCCTTTGAATTTTTTTTTTTGAGTTTGTAACATTCTTAAAAATATTCAAGCTATTCAGAGCAACTATGGCCCTTCAGTGATTGCTATAGAACTCCCATAATTGTCTTTTAACTAAAGGCTGAGACTCATGGAAATGTAGTCCAACGGCAGGTAACACAATTGTGATTTCTAAGCATTATAGTTACATAATCTTTACACAGATATTACATAAATCGGTCACACATCCTTTCTGTTATGTTTGAGTTTCTTTTCATTATTATGGTTTTTTAAAAGTAATGATGAACATCAACTCTGAGCATTCGATCAAGCTTCCATATATTCACATAAAATAAATTCCTAAAATAGTTATCTCAGTATAATTCTTAGATTTACAGTTATGGGATCATAGCCGTTACCATTGTGATAGTGTTACAGAAAATGTGCATACATTGTAATCACATGATATTTCAATCACAATTTCGTCTTTCAAGAGTCTGTATTTTGGAACGTTTTCACAGATCGAAAGTAACAGTACATGTTTGGATGATGTACCAAAGGTGACATGTTTTAACATGATGAAATCCAATGTATTACATAAAACTTAAGGAACAAGGCTTTTTTTGAGATGCAACGTGTTTGTGACGAAGGCCTTTGCCATGCATTGATTCCACCATAATTTCCCCCTTTTTGGTTAAGTGCACCCATACATATTGTATATCAGATCTAGAGGAGAAATAGGGCTTTATTTTGATACCCTATATGAATACATAATGCATTATTAAATAAGAAGAAAATATTACAAAATGGGAAAGAAATTTAAAAAACAACAACACTTTTTGACTGTTTTACATGCAATGATTTCTACATAGCAAGTGCCAGTAAAGAAAACTAACTCAAAAAAGATTCACTAATTAGGCAAGATTTTTAAATCCTCAATATGTCTAGGATTTAATTATTTTTTATAAGTTATAAAATAAATACTGCAAGGAATGAATGAAGTTTTTAAAGCTAAAATTTAGCAACATTTGGCATGCTGAGATTAGATCTTTTTTAGTAGTCACAGAATACAAAACACAAAAGTATATATTTGTAGATAGTACACCTCCCAGGAAATGTAGTTAAGAGCTTTTTGTCACTTTTAATTTAACCATTTTATCACAAAAAAATACATGTTATTTTGAGGACATTTAGAGACCAAGTGTGTCCCACTATTGCAAACATCCCATGTTTGTATTCTGCTACTGTTCGAGTATGATGAAACCCCACATTTCCTCTAATCCAACCCCTAATGCTACCTATAACCCCAGCCCTAATCCAGCCCCCTAATTTCACCTTTCATGGGATTCCCTCTGCCAATGTCAATATTTTTAGGGCTGCTCATATCCTTTCTGTCATTCACCTGACAGTGGGGACCCCCAGGTATCAAAATATACCTGGGAATCCCCTTTTAAATCCTAGATCCCGGGACAAGATTGCTCAGCTGCGGTATTTAAAGGGTTAAGAGCAGTACTCATAATGAGCGCTACTCTTAGTTCATCTGTCAGTCTGGGGCCGCTAACTGTGGACCCAGCTGACACAGGGGACCCCAGAAAGTACCTTTACTGCATGATGGACTATGCTGCCACTGGGCATTAGAACCCTGCACCGCATGATGGTAAGGAGCGCCATGTGATCCTTAAGTAGTTCAGACTACACAATAATAATGCATCCATGAGAAGTGAAATTCTTCAAAATGGATTGAAAACTTTTTTAGATTGAGTCACAGAGCTGCTATCTGCCATCTTCAGCTCCCACACATCAATCTACACAATTTTAATTAAGTTTAGTGCCATTGCAATTGTTAAATACCTTTTATTTGGATCTAATTTTCCACTGGTGGGGAATATACCACCATGCTGAATACACTGAGCAGTTTGTCTGCTCAATTAAATAATTTGTCACCAACTGATATCCATATGGTAGAGATTATTGCACCATACTCAGATATTGAGCTTAAGACATAAACTCTGTCCTTATTAGCGGGCTTCTCATTTATCATAATCCTCATGTTAAAATTACAATTGTGGTTTATCACACACCCACCACTGATCACCACTGACTGATACATTTGAGACACATGTATCCAAAAGTGGGGAATATACTACTGCAGGCTATCTAAACTGGAGCTGGCTTAAAGCTCCAGACCATGTGAGTGGGCCTACACACATCTTATGTTGTATGTTTTCCGCTTTTCAGATTACTATGGTTCTATTTTCTGCTCTTCATGGATACATGGATGTAATGCCAAGTCCCATCAGAAGCAAGAATATTTGATGCAAAGAGAACATTTTAAATTATATTCCATTGGGCTTTTTTTTTATTTTTTTTTATAATGTTCTACCATACTCACTACTTGTTTGCAATCAGGAGCAACATGTTACTTTTGTTTGTCTGTGCTTATCATTTGTAGAGTAAAGAGTCCCCTTTCTTTTTAATTGTTTGCTCCCTCGGGTAGTCCATTGTCTAATTATCTAGCACTTATCCTTCTTGTAAATATTTTTTTATTGTCCTAACTCATGAAGCACTCGCTTTCTACAGAATATTCGCTGCTCTTTTTAAATTTTTAAATTTTTACAGTATTATTCACTAAATGGTGAATTGTTATAAGTTTAAAACCAAACTTGCAGCTGTTAAATTCCACACTGTTCACTGTTTAGTGAAAACATTCTAAAAGGACAAAACTACCAATTTATGTTCATACATTTAAGAAGGGCTTGCAATTTGTACATGTGAATATAGTCTGAAGTTAAACCCCTTCAATCCAAAAGAGTTTTGTATTTAAAAAAAAAAAAAAAAAGTAACATTTATTTGAAACATAGGTTTGCATAGCTAGCACATAAATATTGGATAAAACAGCAATTCTTGGTATTGAACTCTGTTAAGGGATATTAAAAATGTATTTATTTTTTTAAAACGTTTAATTTGTTAATACATCCTTTAAAGAAATATTGCAGGCATGTTATAAAACATTTTAGACTATATTGTATCTAGTGATATAACCAACAGAGTCTGAAATATTTGCATAGAATAATAAATATAAATAAAGATAAATATAGCCAAATACACTTGCAGGTGGCATTTTTGGGAATGGTAGCTTTCAAAAACACCATCAGAGTTTTAAGTCAACACTCACATACAGTAAAACCAGCTTCACTACACATCTGTACTGTACAAAGCAATGCAGGCGACAGTTTAAGCCCACAAACAACCCCTGTGGTGTGCTGACGGCCATCATTCCTTCCAAAATGGCTACCAGAATGCGTCAATAAATGTTGACAAAATTGAGTGTGTGAGAAGGGCTGTTTACAGTTCCTTTGCATTAATGCAGTGGGATAGAAACCGAATAAAGACCGAGTAGAGCATAAAAATGTGCTCCTCTGGAAAAGTTGTATGTATAGGGTTCTACAGGATAAACATTGTTTGGCATTTTAATATAAATTTATGAGTTGGGATGGAAGTGGTTAAACTTTTTTTTTTTGATAGGCCATTAATTATACTTAAAAGATTATCTATTTTAGGTGCTTATACAAACATTCACACACTTATATCACAAATTTCAGTTGACCTGCCGAACATTGCACTGATTAAATTCTAGCAAAAGTAAGTATTTCAATGTAAATATTTTACTTTAAACAGTTATTGGAAATGGTGCATTATTGAATCTCAAGTGCAGCCCTTATAATTAATCTCTGTCCCCCTTTCACTAAACAAAAAGTATATTTGGGTTTAATAATTAGCATTTCCAGTATTTGTTAACCGAAAATCCTCTCGATAGATGCTCATGCAATCTCTATCACCCAATAAAACTGACTAATTACCAGTCTGCATCTCTAGCCAATCCAACCTCGATACCTAGCTGTGTCCCTCCATGTTTAAATACATTTACCAGTATTACCTACTAGGTGGCTATCATAAATTTATGGAGTTACAGTAAAACAGCTTAAAGGGGCCCAGGTTGGACACTCTGTTCCAATGAAGGGCGTCACAGTTCGGGTCTCGGTCTCCCTTCACTGTGTAAAGTGAGTGCTCTCTGAGTCTTCTCTAACTAATTAAAACCTATGAATATATGAAAGCGTTTGATACACTGTTTATATTCATTTTAAAGCTAAGGTATTAAACAGATGACCGTACGTTTGCTTCCTACTTGTTTTAAAAATATACATGTTTAATAAATTATTTATTCTTAAAATAACCGTTTGTTTTTAGAGCATGCAGAATAAATACCAATATATCTACTTTCCTTATCGTAGTTACTCTGTGCCTTTTTAAATGGCGTTAGACACCAGCTATATGTCACTGTATTTTACAATTGTGGTAATGCCTTCACAGAAACATTGTGGACAGAATCTCAAGAACTGAAATAAAGCATTAAAATAACCTGTATAAAAATATTCTTATTTTATGCTGTGTATGCGCCATGCTTGGCTGCAGTGGAAGAATTCCCTCTAAATACATTCAAGCGTATACATAGTGTATACATAGTACTGGCTCACCTTTGGTGCTGCGGCTGTTTACCATGATGCCCAGCCAGATGTTTAACTTTGCATGATGGGTAATGTATGCAGTGGCTGGAGTACAGGAATTAGTAGCAAGTATCCTGCTAAGGACTAACAATGATTTCCCTTGTACTTTGTTCAACAAATACTTGACAGTTATCCTCTTCAAGCCGCACTGTTATTGCATACAGGGTTATTCTATAAAACATGAATGATCTTGAATTCACTAGGGAATTTTATGTAAAACAGTTGAAATGGAAGAATAACTGATTTGGATCATTTTTCTTTCTTGGTTATTTTGCCAATTCCCTATTTAATAAATAACACAGCGTGTCCCTTAGTAGTCCAGGAGGGGTGATCTGGAACCCTGCTTTTGACCAGACTAAAATAGGGCATTCACTGAGGAAGGTGAACTGGTGTAGATGTCTGGAAGTGAATGTGCTTTGAATAATACAAGTCAGGAGATATATTGGGAAAGTTAAAAACAAATATATTATCATACATCCCAACAGTCCCAAATCTGGCAGGACTGATTAATTTTAAGCTCCTGTCTTGCTCCCCAAGTTTGTTAATTGGTGTCCCGCATCTGGGGGCACCAGCGCACTGTCCCAAGCAAGTGCATAATTTAGATATAATATGAAACATTTCTTTAACATTTTAGATTTCTGTATAACTTTCCTTTTAACCAGAAACCTGGAAACCTAATTGGAAACCTTGATTGTATTCCAACATAAACCATTTAAGTTGTTCGACGTGGAGTGTACTCTCTAAACTGCAGACTGTATTGCGTGATTTGACAAATGACTTACAATGTACGCCAAGATCTCTGCTTTGAAAAACCTTAGCAGGCCGAATTGGAGATGTTTATTCAACATCTCTGTTCTGGCTAACATTTTGTAAGTTATTTGTCAACATGCTTTAGTAAATAGACTATTACACGCACATTGCTTGAAGGTACCCAAATAGGTGAAATGTTTTTTTGAATTGTTTCATATAGTATACATTTTATAGTATCTTTTAAAATTTACAATTTGCTCATTGCGTTTCCTATCACTGTATCCAAACAAGGCAGAGATAATGTCTATGTCTAAAGGTCTAAGATTTGGTCATGTCTGGCCTGCTCTATTGCAGGGCACCCTCAAGACAAATTATTTAGGTGGGCATCTTAACTCTGACCCCTAGATGGTTCTGAACTACATCTCTAGTGATTCTTTGGCCATATGTTTTATTTGAAGAATTCTGTAAGCCCTCAACATCTTGGAGGCCAGAGTTTGCAATCCCTGAGGGACACAAAACAAAATAAAAATGGGAAATGTTATATTTAACTATATAGTTTCTTCTAAATGTGTAGCGGATTTTAATTAGACAGTATAGTGGAGGAGGTCCAACTGTTCAACTACTTTTTAAGTGAACATTAGTTGAACATGGTTGGATGACATTAGTTCAATACATGTGCCCAAGAGGGAAGGGAGAAAGAACTTAGTATGAGTTGGATGAAGCCAACCTTTTTAAGGAAAACGCTAAGCATCATAACTACAAAAGCCCACTGTAATAGTTTTGGTGCCAGGATTATCCTGGTAATATCCTACATTATGTAGTCAAACTATCGTGATACAGTTTGACAACTTGCATAGTTCTACCAAGTAACCACGTTGCATCTGGTCTTCTACTGGAGGAGAAGTTGGATATCACTGTAGAGTAAAGCCTGGCCGATGCAGGACTGCGTTCAACAACAAGCATGGCCCTGCTTAGCTCTGTACAGGTAACCAAATTCTCCTAAAATAGAAGACCGGAAATAGGGATTGCAGCCATGGGAACTGGACAAGACCCAGTTCAGTTGTCAATCCATACAAAAAACGTTTGATTACTTACCATGGACTGGTGACAGAGCACTCCTAGGACTATAACCACTAAAGTAGGCTGTAGTAATTATGGTGCTTGGAGTGTTCCTTTAAAGCTCTCCTGGGTGTGCCTGACTGTCTCGTATTACTCTTTGGTAGTCTAATTGAGTACTGACATTTTCAAGTATTGGTTAATTAGTAACCAAGAGTACCAATAAGAAAAATTAAATAGTTCTACATAAATAACTAGAGGGCACCAAGAGCCCCTATTGGCCAAGGGGGAATGGTTAAAGTGAGTTATGGTTAAATTATAATTAACTAAGCCACATAGATTCCCCAGCTCCTCCTCCAGTCTCGAAGGTTGTGGTGATTTCATACATCTGCTGAGAACTCAAATTACAAGACATTATTATGGGCCACCATGCCAGATAGACAAGGCATACCCTCCAAATAATTATTAGGGCAACTGTCAACAGTTAAGCCTAGAGGACTCGTTATCCTGCACTAATTGTGATCTGATACATTTAATAAGAGAAGGAATGAGGTTGGCATTTATATGGCCGAAGGAATCTGGGTCCCTAAAATACAATTAAATAGGAATTTAAATAGGAAATACAATTAAATAGGAATTTTAGTGCAGGTCTGCTGTGGTTACCAGGACATTATATTAGCCCCCTCTTACAGCTCAGCACACCCCTAATTCTTTGGTTGGTGGACCACTGTGGAAAACTACACTTTATTTTTTTCTTTCAGATACACAAATTGAAACATTTTGAATACCACACTTTCTATATCTATTTATTTAAAGGAACACTACTGAATTAAAAAATATATATATATTTTAGTGTACCCACCATATAAAACATGCATGCATAGATTTGTTCCTGCATAATTCATTTGTGAGTATATGGGGGGGAAAAACACTTGCAAAAGCTGCAGACCTGTTATCTGCAGCCTTTGCAAGCCCTTCCCTCTTTTCCCAGCACAGGCTTTCAATCTCTTCTCGTTTTACAATCCTCTGTGCTAGTTCTCTGAGTGCGGGTAGGGGCAATACGACCTTCTATTGAAAGCATGTCCTGGTTATTCTACAAATCCTTATACTGCTAAAAAAATATTTGTTATCTTGACAGCTTTTTTGGGCCAGTTCACATGTGCAGGACTTTGGACCCCTATAAAATGTTTTGTGAAAATAACCTTTACCCATATTTTTGACCCTTGGTTATAAAAATGTATAGCAATGGTCCATTATCCTTCTATTTTATTTAGTCCTTTATTCTTCCTCTTACCAAGATAACAACACTAGAACAGTTGGGCTTATTTATCAAACTATCAGGGTTATTCGCTAAAATAGAACAATCGGAAATTGAAAGGGAATTTAAAGTAAATTTCAAATTTTAGGACAACATTTTGAACTGGAAAAATTCAGCTGATTAGTTCTCAAAATCTGAAAGTCACTTTGAATTCCCTTTGAATTTACAGTTTAGTGCATGTGTAACTTATTCTGTACATTGTTTATCATTTAGCACGATTTGGCTCACTAAATCTATTAAATTGCAAATATTGCAGTTTAAATCTTTTGTAAACTGATACTTTTTAGATATTGCTACACGTAACTTAGCATGAAATATATTACTAGTGCAATGCCTGTGATACATTCATACGTATTTGCACAACTTCCACACCCACCTTTCTCACACAGACACGTGACGTTGGGTGTCTCATCAGCATTAAACCAGCGTTATGTCGCTGATGAAATGGTGGAAGGGTTTTAGAGAATATATGGTCATTATACCAAGCCTGAGATCTACAAATTTCATAGTAACATTGGCAGGTTAGACCCTGATATTTAAATATAACATTACCTTTATTATACAAATAATTTTTGTACTGAAGATTATAAATAAGAGAGAATGCATGCAGTCAACTGCATATTTTACAAGCAATACAGTATCTAGATTAAGGATCATCTCTTTGGCAGGCCAGAATCCAGCTGGACATGCAATATTTACACATCAAAATAGATCAAATTAATTAGATTAATAAATGTATGTATAACTGCATATATAGACATTAATGTGCAGACGTTATATATGCAGCAGTACACCTACACGCACACACAGTATACGTTATACATGAATCTCTTCTTTTTCTGATTCTGGTGTGAGGGGTCTGGAGACACTAAAAATATCCTGACATGGTATTTGAAGGGGACTGGAAGGATTAGGGGGAGGAGTAGATGGAGATTCTCTGTTCTCGGACAGTATTTTTAAGATTGCCGAAACTTGCTGCTCTAGAGCAGTCATTCGGCAGCTCAGCAACTGAATGTCCTCCTTTAACTCAAGTTTGACTTCCTGGAGGGTGGTCTGTAAGGCTTGTTCGGGGATGGGGTAAAAAGGGTGTTTTGCATCAGCTTGAATGGGACTGTGTTCGAGTGGGCTGCGTGTTTCCCCTGCTTTGTCCAAACGAAGGTCACTTTTTGTGATTCCACTGTCACAAGAGTCTGTTTTTCTTAAGGGGTTTTTTGAAACCCCATTTTCTGGATCGATACATTTTGGGTCATCTGAAAGCAAGCCCATTGATTCTGCTTTTGTAACATTGTTCCAGTCTTCCTTTTTCTCCTCCTGTACCTGCATGTTGTTTTTCAATCTCAGCCAACCTTTCCCGTTGCCGTTTTTAATACGAATGGGGCTGTTGACTTTCAGACATTTCGGGTCACTGTTGCCATTTGGCTTAAGCTCCATAGCATCCCTATTGTTTTGTTTCAGAGATTCAGTGGTTCGAACATAAGAAAGCGATGTCTGGATGGGTGTTATCTGGGACACAGTCACCACGCTGGTGCCAGTAATGACTGCTCCGTTGTGCATTGAACGATTCTCCACTTGAAGTTGATTTCTTTCCAGATCACTGTTTGTAGAGACTTGGTTCCGTAACTCCTTCTGCTGTTTAAACTTTTGAAACAGTTTTCGTACAGGGTGGTCCACTGGGATACTAAGTGTCACTTCATTCTTCTGACGCTGTCTCTCTTCTTCCTCTTTCTTTACATCACTGATTTTACGGAAGATGATCTGATAGAAAAGGGGAAAACCATTAGATAAATATGGTCAGTTTTGGCATCTTCTCTAAGAAATAAGATACGCTTGGCTGGAAAAATTATACATTGCATTTTCTTTATTTTTTTTTAAACTTATACATTCAGTGCTGCAAGGCAGAGAGAGTGACATGTTGTAATAAGCATTTGGAATAAAATACAATTCTGTTTTATTATAATCTTAACTTCCAAGCAGCATAAGATCCATGTAGCATCTAGAAACATCAATTCTGAAGATTTAATTTCAGTAAAATCAGACACATTTGGAAATGTGCAAAATTTTTTTTTTTTAAACCACGGATGACGTTTTATATTTATCATTTTATTTTTATCTAAGATTCTTACCATCGGATTCCCCATCTAAATTGTTCAAAATAAATTACAGCTTTTTAGAGTATATTTTAATCTGCCCAATTACCAGTGATATACACTATCATTACATCATTATTGTTTTCGTTAGCAGTTCACTTGTCTAATTAGCTTGACAAATGATTAGGTGTATAGCCCTCTTAATCCACTGCTAAAATGAACATATATAGAAACATGTATAGGCATCCATACTAAATGCTGAGCTTATTAAGTGTAATCAGGAAAATACACATATTATAAATGGAATAAGCATTTCATTTATAGAGTAAATTAATAAATGTAATACATTATTCCAGATTAAAAAACAAAGTATAACCTGTTCATTGTGAACAGAATGGACTTGCTGTAATATTAAGAAACAAATCAGGATATAAGCATGAAACACTCCTTATCGCTGATGCTGGGATTGTTACATTAGGTTATGTCCCCCTGAGCCTGTAGTTTAAATTTAGGCAAGTTAACAGCAGATAACGTACTTAGCGATGGGAGAAATTACTCCATTCAGGTTTTTCCGGTAAATTAGGACTTTAGTGAATAACCCTAAATGACATTTGTCAAACCACTTAAAGTTTTGCAAAAGCTGTAGCGACTGCACCCATAGAATCCTTCCACCATAACCACTACAATAATCTGTAGTGGTTATATCCCTTAGTGTCCTTTTTAATTAGTAATGTGGAAATCCATTAATTTCCAGAAATGTAAGTAAATTCCAAATGACAATGCAGAGATCAGTGCGCTTAAATGTAGAACAATTCTGGAAAGTAATGAAATTCTGTGATCTTTATGTAGGCGGGTTACATAACCTTTTTATTTTTTATATATGTAGTATGCGTTAATAGATCACATGGCTGTTATTTTTGCACTCATGAAATTAAGTGAAATCAAATCTACATTTTAGATAACAGTGCATTTTTCTTAAAGAAATGTGTGTGTATATATATATATATATATATGTATGTATGTAAAAAAAAATAATAGAATTAATACACAGCATTGCCACTTCATAACCTCTCCTATAAATTAGAACCTTTACAATGAAATACTGATCAGGAATAACAGATACATTTTCATCTTAGAAAAGTCTAAAATAGAAGGCCCATTTACTTCCAAGGTTTAGAATGCTTAGCCTTTAAGACATTCTTCTGGGACAAGGAATCTACATGCGCTGTCCCCAGTATACAGTCTGCGTCTATGAGAACGCTCAACAGCAGCATAACTGCTAACCTAAACCACAAATAGCAAACCATGGCAGAACAAGGATTAGCTGAGAGGTAACCTACCTTCCGCAGAAGGTGCAGGGAGGTGAGCATTAAAGGGACATTATTTTATTTTTATTTTTTTTTAAACAGAAAGCAAACACATTTAAAAAAACAAAACAAAAACATACTTATAAACTTGTTCAGATTTCATTATTGAGCCTCTCAGCCTGGGGAGTTTCTTCAGCCTCCCTCTTACCAACCCATCTCAGTTTGAGACCAGTATACTAATGACAGAGACAGGACATCATTGTGCAGCAGCAGGAGAGAGAAACCCAACACTGGAGCCTGCTTTGCATGATCACACTGATCAGACCCCTTCTCTTCTCCCCAAATGAACATGTGTAAATCTGTCAGGCACGCCCAATGCACTTTTCCAACATTCCTAGGGATAGGACACTGATTGGTTAGATCAATGTCCCACCTGGAGTGGGTGTGGAAGGCATAAGAAACAGGTAAATATGGAAATAAATCTTATGTATCTGTTTTTTTTCAGCATGCAGAGTGAGGCAACGATCTCATTCTGATGCATGTCCCTTTACAATATCTGCCCTACAGCTGCTGTATAACTAGATTACCTATTATCACTATATAACACTAGCTGTAATAAAATTAGTCACATTCTATTTGCAAAAACAAAATATATATACACACGCACGCAGATACATACACACAGTAAACCTACTAGTGCAGACAGATACAAAGCGTAAATGAATAATCCAGTTATATCACTGTTACAGTAGAATGAATCAGAAAACATTGTCAATGGTCAAAGAAAGAAAAAACGGTAGTGTGCACTGGCATGCTTACAGGCTTGATTTTGTTTTGCTGCACCCATTAATAAGTGTGTACGACAGGGATAATTTTAGACTTGTGTGCCGCCTAATGCCAATATATTTCTATAATTATCAGCCACCCAGCTATCAAAGATGTACAGATGTTCTCTATCAAATATTTAAGGGCCAAATTAAACTCTCCTGTTTTAAAATATATTTTAAAGTGACACTCCAGACCCCTAAACCACTTCAGCTAAAAATACTTTACATGTGAAGAGTGTGCCCTCTTTTTTTCATTTTACTTAAAGTGTAGATCTCAAAAGAAATTTACACTTTTATTAACAAACCTTGTTACACCCCCACCCTCCAGGCTGTCAATCAGACAACGGGTCTTGTTACTTCCTGTGTTTTTAGCTCAGTGGATCTAAACTGAAGAGGCAGCAATTGCATAGAGCACCTGCCTTGCAAAGACTTCTCATTGAGCTACATTTAAGAAGTCTGTGATTGGACATAAACAGTAAGTCTGGTTGGGGTTAGAACGGGAGGACTTGCAAAGGCTTCAGACAAGAGAATGCAAAATTAAATAAATAAGATATCATATTAGGCTCTATATATCTTACTTATTGACCCAAGGATGGTTTTCACCCTGTAAATAAACATTTATTTCTACTTCTTCACATT